AAAGGATTAAAATGTGAAATTAAATTAAAGTATTATGTTCAATTTACAATAATATTATTTGTTATATATATATACATACATAAATTAAATAATTTCACATACCATTGAATATTCAAACATTTATAGCATATGTGAAATGATGTGAAGAATTGGCAAAGATTCATATTTACTTTCTAGTAATTAATTAATAATTACCATAAATATTTCATTTTAACCTCTTTCTTATTTAATTTTTTCCCAGCAGTTATTTTAATTCCCTTTGTGTTACTTGTCCCTTTTACCAACGAGTAAATATTTTAAACTTTATTTTCCTTTCAGCATCGTTTTTTGACCTAAACTGTATAATACAACGTAACAGAATTAATTATATACTTTTTTTTTAGAATTAACAAAAATGAATTAATATAAGTTAAATTTGAAATTATAATTATAGAGTATTAGTATATTACAAACACACGTGAATAAATAATCATCTTTATTCACTTTCACAAAATTGTACGCATAAATTTTAATAAAAATATACTCCCTCCGTCCAGTTACAAAGTATACATATTTCTATTTTGGGACGTCCAATTACAAAGTAACTATTTCATTAAATACCCCACTTTTTTTTTTTTTCGAAAATACCTTTACTTTACATCACATCATTACTTTTATACCTAAAAATAAGGACAAAAATGTCATACTTTTACCTACCAACTATAATTAAAATACTATTATTTTTTAAACCCTGCGCCAAAAGTAAATATATATTTATTGTTTGAACGGAGCGAGTAACAAAATATTTAAATAAATATTTTAACACAACTTTCATATTTTCCAATAAATAATAAAAAAAAACAAAAAATATATTCTAAATAATAAAAGACAAAGTGCTATGAAAATTTTATGTAAAATGCGTGTTCGTAAAAGTATTTATGCAATTTGTTACATACTAGAACGTGATTCATGATTTACATTGGTCTACTTTGAAAAAATTTTAAAAATTAAATAAAATAAAAGAAGAATGTTAAGTTGAAAAACATCAATTACATATTGACAAATCTTCTTTTTGTTGTTGTTGTCGTTAGATTCCAAAAACAACAACATTTGACCCAGCTGACATGCAGTCACATCAACTTGCATTTTATTGTCTTTCCTAAAAATTGTGGTTAATCAAGACAAAATAGACACTTTGAGTTTGTCCTCTTGTGGTCAGAAGTGAATAGATACGCACAATTCATTATTTGTATCAAGGAAATTAATTACATTGCATAACAATGGCTGATGTGGTTGTCTTACACAGCTTGAGATTAGTGGGAAGGAGACAGAAGTGGTTTTGAGAGAGTGTGCAGTGAGAGAAATATTGTAACAATCCTCTCAACGTCAAGCCTTGTTATCTCCATGTATTGAGTGAGTGATATACACTACTATCTCGGCGGAGAGTTCGTCGGTCGAAGGAGAATTAGAGCTCCGATAAGGGGAACATTCAGAATCTGTGCAGCCCAGCTTCTTGTTAGTGGTCAGTACGCGTTTGTGACAACAAATGTTTGTGGAGGGATTTTCCTAGGTAATCAACATTGTAGTTTGGGTTGAGGGAGTTTTGAGTGTTTTGTTCTTAATCAGCAATGATTAATGAACCTCTTCTGGATTGGAATCCCCCAAATGTAGGTTGGTTATAACCGAACCGGGTTACCAAATATCTTGACATTTATTGCTTTGGTCTCTGCATTTATTTCGTTGACAAGTCACCGTTATAACTGTGATATAACTACGCTTCGGGAGTTGGTCATTTGAATAAGTGTTCGAGGGTTTATTGGTGCAGCACCTATTCTCCCCGACAAAAAAAATAAAATAAAATATAAATTTAAAAATGTACAATGATCAAAATAGAAACTTCTAATATTGTTGTTCTATATTGCTAAATATGTCCATATTTATATATCCATTTGTTTTTTATACAGAGTTTTAGAAATATTAGTATTATATTGGGATAAAGTAGAAATAAAGGTAAAAAGACTAAATTAACCCTATTAGTATTGTATGATATAAAAGTAATGGCATTTGTGTAATATATTGTAAATTAGAAGGGTATTTGTAATGTTAGGTAGATAGTACAATTACTAAAAAAAAAAATAAATAATTTGTTATGGGACGGACCAAAATGAAAAAATGGATTGTTAAGGGACGGAGGAAGAATGTCATTAAAAAAAATAATAAATTAAATTAAATACAATATATATTATTGTTTATATGTATTGAAATACCCTAATATACTTAGTCATAGAACAAGTTATACTGAGTTTGATTATATATTGACTTCTATTACAACAAGAATGTGTTGGCCTATGTTTTAAATTGTGTTGTTTTATAGATAAAATAGTTGTTGAATATAATGTTTTATATGAAACAATGCAATTGTATAGTAAAATAATTACAAAAAATAAATGTGAAAAAGAACATAGTCTAATTAATGGTAGATGTTAAACTCCTCTTTGTGATTATTGTTTATACGTGAAAAAACTCGATCAATAAGACGCTGATGAAATTTGACGTCATGACCTTACACTTACATTAACTTACCATTCCAACTCGATCATCCCTGACGGGATTGAACTCAATATTTTTTGTAAGATGAGAAATCTTGTATAGTATGTTGTCCGTGTAAATGTAATGTGCTGATATATAAATAAAAATATATAAATAGTGATAAATTTGTTTCAATTATAATTCACATTTTCTATAGAATTTCGATAATTTTCATTATGTACATTGTTGAATCGCATCCATATTCCTGCATTTATCATGAATATAATTTTTTTAGAAATTTCAAACCAAATTACGATTTTTATGTAATCGAATTATGATGGCCCTTGATGCCGTGATGATCTTCAACTTAACATAAATCATTTGAACAACGGTGATGCAACTATATGGTCATAGAATCCCATCAAAATCTTTGAAAAATTAAGGTATTTTTCATTTGTATTTATTTATTTTTTTAGTATTAAAATTATTATTTTCCTTAATTAAGAGTATGTCACGTGCACGGTAGAAGTATGACATATGCTCTCAATTCTTATATTGTATTTATATTATATTAATTAATATAAATGGTATGTTTCTTGTAATAATATCGTGCATTTTTTTATAGTTCATCGTATAAATTCAATACTGTAATCGCCATCCATAAACAAGTTAAGAAGTAAAGGTGTTTTTGCGTTTATTTTGAATATATTGAAATCTTTTGAATTTACTATTTTGACATAAAAGATATTTACGACATTATGTTGAACAACAATAATTTTGAAATAAAAGATAAAAACACACCCTTATTTTATTGCCTATAAGCACTCTATTGGGTCGACACTGACACTGAGAGAGGAAAGTTAGGGGAGCGAATGGGATTAGATACCCCACTAGTTCTAGCCGTAAACGATGGATACTAGGCGTTGTGCGTATCGACCCGTGCAGTGCTGTAGCTAACGCGTTAAGTATCCCGCCTGGGGAGTACGTTCGCAAGAATGAAATTCATTCAAAACTTGATCGAAAACCAGCGTTGGGGCAGGCAACTATCAGGATAGGTGGTCAAATAACTTTATATATAAATAATGTTTAAAATAAATAAATAAATAATAATAATAATAATACTTAGTATTGAATTATTTTTTAATGAAAAAATTATACTATATTTTATTTTTTTAAAAAATGAATATTCACAATATATGTAGTCATTATGTGTAATTATTAATGTTGTTTTAATTTGTTATTTTTTCATAAAATAAAATACAATATTTTATAAATGAAAAAATATTTTTTAAATAAAAAAAAAAAATTGCTCCCACTCTAAATTTATTCTGGTTCCGCTATACGGTCACTATCATAGTCCTTTTAATTATCTTAATTTTAATTAATTTTGTATGTGACACTCATGGATATTTAAAGTAGAGGCATAAGAATAATACACATAATTAGAATTAGTAGAGCAAAATGAGTAAAATACATGACAATTCTTTTTGTCACGATACGGACCAAAACGATAAACAATTAAAACCATTTAAATTATTAATATATCGAGTTTGTTTACTTGCATTTTTAATTATATCTTTTAAACTATCTATCAAAAAATAATAATAATAAGATTTTAATATTATTTTTGATATTTTTTTATTATTATTAAGATGATTGTACTCTCTTTATCCACTAATATAAGAGTGAGATATTGGTAAAAAAAATAGATGTATTATAGATGATTTATTTAAAAAATTAATAAAAAAATAATGTGAGAAGTATAAAAAAATAGTGATAGATTACTTATTATTTTTAAAATATAACTAATAAAATTATAAGTAAATAAAATTATTTATTATAAATAAATTGTATATAAATTTAATCTATAAATTTTTTAAATATTATTATAACATATGAAATGAGTAGGATATACTAATATGTTTTTTTTCGTAATAATAAATGGCCTATTGCATCACAAGTACGATGTTGTCCTTGATTACAGAAACGAAAACTCCCGAGGTCCATGGAGCAAAACTCCCGCCTTCAATGCCGCCACACAATGTGTGTGTCCCCGTATGAGAATAAGATGTAAATTGTAATGCAAACCAAAAAAATACGAAAACCATGCACTGACTGACGTACTACATATATAAAATTAAAATTAAAATTAAATTAAAAAAATATATATATATTATAATAAGATCAAAATGTTAGTATTTGAAAAGAACAGCACTGAAGATTCTGTGACAGCAACAATCAACAAATTCGAAATTCGATATATATATATATATGGCTGAATACACACATTTGACACATTTATAAATATGGAGTATAATGGACATTATTTAAAAGTACAACACAAGTTAAAAGTATTCCACTTTCAAATATATATTTAAATTTTATTACATATGTATTCAATTATTATTATACTTATATATATATAGACAAATTCACATTTTGCTGACAAATATTTATTCATAATTATAATTTATTCACTAGTACTATAGAGATATATATATATATATGTGTTCTTATAATTTATTAATTAAATTAATAATTATATTATAATTAGAGAGAAATTGTATACTTGGATTTAATTGATATTTATCAATTCCTGTTGAGAAGTTCCTCGATCATTTGCAGCGCGATCCTCTGCTCTTCATCGATTCCATCTCCGATCTGCCCGCCGGCGTCTCTCTGCTGCGGAGGCGGCGGCGGAGCCGGCGCCGGAGGAGTCGGGTTCCCGGCGGCGGCGGGACTGTTATTCTGATCCCGGGTCGTCTTTCGGATCTCACCCAACTCAACAGTCATGACCCAATTAGAATCGGACCTCGACCCGGCCCGTTTCTGCCAGACCCCAATGTGGGAATTCTCCGTGTCCAGCCGGAGACACGTCAGCGACGGCGACGGCGATTTGCAGCACTTCCGAAGCTTCGCGCTGAGGATTGACGAGAGCGACGCTCGAGAACCCGCCGGCGACGGTGAGAGAATCTCCGGCCCCGCCGCGGCGGCGTCGGGGACGACCGGAAAATTAGTCTTGGCGTTTCTCCCGCTCATCAGCACCGCCGCCTCGTCGTAAGCCCTCGCCGCCTCCTCCGCCGTCTCGAATGTCCCCAGCCATACCCTCCTCTTGCTGTAATCAATTACAAAATTAGGGTTCAATAGATATATACATATATACATATATATAGATAGATATAGAGATAGAGATAGAGATAGATATACAGCAAGGGATGGCGAATCTCTGACACCCAAGAGCCCCAATGGCGTTGTCTGACACCTCTGAACTTTTTCGTCTGTACCATTATTAGAATTAAGGTTTTAACAGAGTTCCCGATGGATCCAGGCCAGGCCAGTACACTGCACTGCAAAAATATATATAAATTCAGACAGAGAGAGTGAGAGAGAAGGGGTGATTATATGTAATAAAAATTAAAAAATAAAAATATTGTGAATTGGTGTAGCATGGGAGAGGGGCAATTGAAATTGCAATTGCAGTATGATTTTATAGACGACATTAAAGACTGGGATCGTCGTTGTCGGCGAGCTTACAGAAACATAGAGCGAGAGAGAGAGAGAGAGAGGGGGGAACGTTATTGTGGTGTGGTGCAGTGGTCCCGGATCTCTGCTGGCTGGCTGGCTGGCCCACTCCATCTTTCTTTTACCTTGTGCACTGTAATATGTAATGATGGGTCCCGCTCCCTATGAAAGCAAAGGCTCTGTTTAGTTATTATTTGCAGGGGTAGTTAATTTTGAGGATTTATTATTTTTTAAAAAATTAAATTAAATTTATGAAATGTACGATTTATTTTTTCAGTTTTATATTTACAAAAATACTTTTTATGTCCCGTCTACTTCTAACATTTTTCAACTTTTTTTTTTAATATAATTATATATTTTAATTAATTTATAATTTTTTAATATTAATTAAATTATTTAATTATTTTAATTTTAATTTATAATTTTTTATTATATAATAATTATTTTTAGTTATATATTTTTTAATTAGTTAATAATTATATTTTACCTAAATTATCGTATTTACAATAATATTGATACTTTTAGTGGGACGGAAAGAGTATATTTCCTTCTTCTCATAAGTAAGTATTTGTTTGCTTTTTGCAGGCAGTTTAAGGTATATTAATATTGTAAGGGTATTTGCACTGTTAGGTAGATAGTATAATTACTAAAAAAAAATTGATACCCTGTTATAAGACGAGTCAAAATAAAAAAAAAAATTAAATAATATGTTATGGGAGAGAGAGAGAGAGAGTATTTTTATTTTCGTTCATTCAATTCAAACCTTTATATATTTTTTTCTTTTTTGTAATTGTGGATCCTACTGCTAACTACTAATATTCTTTTACACTTACTTACCATCTTATTCTCATCTTATTCTACATTTGTTTTTAAATAGGAGCAATTTAATCTTTATACTATTACTTATATATATATATATCAATTATTATTAACACACTAATATTTCTTAATTCGCATGCAAAAAATTAATGTAAATATTAAAGCTGAGTAGTATTATCACTTCATAAAATTTAAAATAGAAGATATATTTTTTAATAAAATATCAAATTAAAATATTATTTAAATAAAAATTAAATTTTTTTTTTATTTTAAATATATTTTAAATCACAGCTAAATAAACTTTTAAATAAGTTTAGAAATTATGGAATAATATATAATTGAAAATACGATACAATTTATCTTATTAAAATATAACTAAGATTTAAGATTGTATAGGAAAAATATATTTAAGATAATGGATATGTTCGATAATTAATTAGTTGATATCTGTTAATTTATTCGATTTGCAGTTATCTGGTTTGACTAGCTAATTGATTCAATAAACAGTGTTTGATAAAACAATTGTTTAAATGAGAAAGATAATAGTCTCTCTTACTATTTTTTGTATGCTCCACTTTAATGTATATCTTCTATATTTTAGAAAAAAAATAATCATACACTAATATCAAAATAATTTTAACTTTTACTTAAATTATAAACATACTATTACACATACTTCATATGAAAAAAAAATATAAAAACTCTTATACACTTCTACTAATCAATAAAATAATACGTTATTATTTATTAATTTATTATAAAACCCCAAAAAAAAAAAAATTTAAATTGGGAGGGATGAAGTATTATTTAAATATTTTTGTACTTCTATAAGATTGAATTTAAAATTTTTATATGGTTAATTATAATATAAAATTTAGATTAAAATAGAATGAATGTAAAAAAAAATACTAAGATCATTTGCAATAGTGTGTAAATAGATAAAAATTTAAATAAAAAAATTTGTGTTTTTTTATTCAATATAGTAAATACACATTTGGGAGATACCTCAAAATAAGAAAATGAATACACTTCTACAAGAACAAGGGAGTATCTTTTGTGTTTGAAAATTGGAATTGATCTTATGCACTATAATGTGTTTGGGGGTAAAGTTAAAACTTATCTATAAACATAATGAAATGAAGTTACTAATAGAGATTAAAGGCTTAATTTTTATGATTTTCTATAAATATATATATTTTAATATAAAATATTACATCTGAATTACTATTCAATCTAAAATCTAAAATCAAATTTTAAAACCAAAACAAAACTTTTATTATTATTTATTTATATATATACAAGAATATTATAATTAACATAGACGGCATATGCAATATTAAATTTAAAGTTCAATACTGTACCGAAGAGCACCTGACGTGCTACAAACAACATACGATATTACTATTGACAGTACATTATTTATATTAATAAAATACAAATACAATACATAAATGATACTTGTTGTGTGTATTAAAATATGTATTATTTCTACATCTAATGTGTTATGATTTGAAAAATCGGTACGGTGCACCGTAACCCTCCTCAATTAACATAATTCTCATATAAAACATTGCATACAATTATCTTTTACCCAAAAGATATAAAATAAAAATGTAGCCATAAAAAACACATCCATGATATAACATTATCTAATTCACCAGAGTATACAAAAATATAAGTGATCAATAAATTTAATTTCTTTCTCAACTGTTTTCTTTTATTATTATTATGAAAAAAAAAAAAAAAGAAAAAGAAAAAGAAAAGAAAACAAGAAAGAAAGAAAGAAAGAAAGAAAGAGAGAACCAAAATAGTATTTAAACAACTTCTTTATTACCAATACTATGTTGATTACATATTATATATGTTCATGTTTTCATGCCATTACTAAAATGGTACATATAATTTAATTATTGCACGTTACCTTACTATTTGAACTATCTTTCACAAATCACGATCCATTTCTTGGATGTTAATGTCAACATATTTAACAATATATATAAAGAAAATAAAAAGATTATTTTTATCTAAACTTTCTACTATTATTTATAATTTATTAGAAACATTCTAAAATTTTTACCATTTTTCTTTATTTACCCATAATTTCCCCATTTTACATTTGAATTAAAATTTATAAAATCTTTTCAATAAAAAGTAAGGGAAAAAGTTAGTAAAAAATACTATAAAAATTATATCAACTAAAAAACTCATCGGAATGAAAATCAACACACATAATAAGACGGTGAAAGTATTATTCTTCTACAAAGAAAGTTCATACACATATTTAGATTTATATTTTTATTTTGCCAAATAGTATATTTTTATAGGTAATTGTATAAATTGCATGATAAAGAATTAAACTAAAAATAATAAATGGAATAGCGTTCGACTATTTGTGATATTCGTTCTAATTGCGCACATGGACATCACATTATTCTGACAATACGCGACATTTGTGTGAATAGTTAAAAGAGCTATAAAATATTAATTAAAAATTTACACGATTGATCAAAATTTTAGATAATAAAAATCACGAAGACAATGAACATGTTGAATCGAGATGGAACAATTATAATTTGGCCGGTGAAATTAGTCCATTGTCTTTTTCAACAGAAAGAAAGACAACATTGTATCATAAAGTTTAATTGCAAATTCAACTATTAATATGTTCACCATAAAGTTACAAGACTAACTACTATATTGGTAGGATAGGTAATTAATCATTAATTGATTAGGTGTAGCTATATATATATATATATATATATATAATAAAATAAAATAAATTAAATTAAAAGAGTGGTCCATATGGGTGAAAAAAAAACATTGAATTCAATGCTTATCGAAATTATTAACATATAAACATATATAATGTGGTGGTTTAATTATTTTAATTTCGAAATGACCAATAGTATGTTATAAATAAATTGCATTATTGTTCCATAATTGTTCTAAGTTTGAAACTTAGATGGGTAGCTTGTTTTTTCTATAAACATTATATATATAACAAGAAAATAAATAGATTGTTTTCTTAATAGTTTTCGTGAAATTAAATGATATATAATCATAGAGAATCGAATGCAAGTCATAGCTCTACGTAGAAATATTTGATCACTTGATTTATAAGAGTTAATTTGAATAATCATATAAGTATATTGTCTATATATTTACATATATATATATATATTCATATTAAATTATAGTTTTATATTTTATTTTATTTTTTACTAATTCATTTAGTAAGTAATTCAAAATACTTCCTATAAAAAATATCTTATCTATTTTCATCAAATATTACATCAAACTATTATTTAAATACAATAGAATGAATATAAAGATGTGTTTGTTTTGTGACATTGTTGGAAATAAAATTGTTTTTATATGAACTATAAAGAATTGTGTAGGGGATATAAAAATAATGAATGTGTGTAATGTATTAATTTTTTGGGGAAAAATGTGTGAAAAAAATTATAAAAAGAACAAAACCTAATCCTAGTTATTGTTATACTTTGGGGATGTTGTTATATATTTTGTTTTTTTTATTATTTAAATTGGTAAAAAAATACTCCCTCTGTCCCAGAATTATAGTCAAGGGTTGTGTTCGGCACGAAATTTAAGGAATATTGATACTATATCGGAATGAGCAAAACCTCTATATTTTTAGGGTCAATGGCACAATGCATCATTTCATTAATTCTTTGGTCCCTACTGACAATGTACGCCGTAATTTGCAACTTTATTTCCACGATTCTACTTCTGAAATGCATTCCCAGCCTACAAACTACCCATGTATGAATCATGACTTGGTATCTTCGCTTATAGAACTGTCATCCCTTAACCCATATGCTACTTTCTTTAGGCAGTTGTATTCAATGTCCGCTATTATTGATTACAGCATCTATCTAATAAGTAACCCCCGTCTTGATCAAAGAGTTTATAACCGTCCAACTGTCGATGACGTCTCAATAATTTGGCGAGACAACCAAAAAAACAAACCGGATGTGCAACGGGATATTCAGATGTACCCAATTGACCATTCCGTAAAAACAGTGTCATATTATTCTTTCGCTTATGATC